CTTACAGACACCAAACCAGTAATACAAATGGGTCAAAACCAGTTCTTGCTAAAAGTACGGCAAAATTCAGCTGAAATCACATTTGTTAATAATGAGAGTAACATCTTGTTTTGATGCTTTTAAGACTTTCATGGTTGCAAGTTTGGTTTCTTTGGGGCTTTATATTTTTATACTTGTATGGGGAAAAAAGCTTAAGGGATTTTCACATACCCTTATTTGCCCGGGCTCAAAGCTCAAATATTTTTTTTTCTTTCAAATAGTGTTAATTTTAATATCTGAAATAATATATGAGATAACAAACAGATAACAAGTTGCAATAATAGCTTTATTTCAACTCAGCTGCAAGGTTATTGTTGTTTTAGTGAGATATTTGTCTTGATTTTTGACTCCATCACAATCAATTCAAGGAATTTCAGTATAAACTTGTAGCAATGGCTAATTCACTCCCTTCCCTGCTCCCTAACAAAAATAAATGTTAATCCTTCAGAAGCTTAGGAGGAATCTTAATATTGTATTCTACAGTAATCTCTTTAGAAGACAAAGAACTACAAATGACATCTTAAACTCACTATGACTTCAGTGGCAACTCCCAGCAGCAGAAACGACACAAGCTTCCAATTTATTTCTGTATTTACCATTTGTCAAATGCCAGTTAAGCAACATGCAGATATATTATGGTGTTTTCTGGGGACAAGTGCAGCCCAGTCCAGGTAAAGCGTGACACATCCATCTAAATCTGTTTAAAACAAAATCCCAAGAAAGATTACTTCGTGTTCACAGCAACAGCTATCTCCCCAGTGCCAAACATGTATCATGTTGTCTGCTTGTAACTGGATCAATGCACGGCAGGGAGAGCAACTGTGTGTGACAACTGCTGCTGTGGAAAGTAGAGAACCTAAGGAATATTCATAAAGAGCAAATTAAAACATTATATGAGGCTTTGATTAAGCTCGACAGCTTTCCTAAAGAGTTTCTATTGTTGTTACTAGTGCTTAGCAGCAGCTGAGGATTTGTGAAAGAGCAGCTGCCTCCACCCCCCTGCAGCCTTCATGAGATGGTGGTGGTTGAAATCTATGTGGGATGTTTTGCTGTTCTTTCTCTTTCTTTGCAGAATTGCATATCTATGCTATATAAGCTTCTGCTAGATTATCTTTTCCCAAAAATTTGTGTATAAAAATGTCTGCAGCCCATGTTGAACACAGATTGACTTGCTCCTGGCTGTAAGTCTGTCTGTACTCCTGTTCTCTTCAGTCTTGTGTATCAATTTCAATCTGCAGATCAGTTGTATACATAGGAAAGTGTGTAAGTACTGCCTATAATAATTTTTTATTACAAAAATATGTTGCAGGTATTCTGTACTTGATTATCTCATACCTCATTTTGATCATTCAAAATCTCTGTCTTTGCTATTTTTTTCATCACATGTTGAGAATCTTCTGTGCTGTCTTGACCAGCAGGCAAAGGAATAATGGAAATGTGTGCTGGGTGCTTTCTCTTCAATCTATGGCAATGAAAACAAAAATGACAGTGGATTAGGATTACTTTGCAGTGCATTTTTTTGTTAGTTGCACCAAATTGCAAAGCCACTTTACTCAGTTCAGAGACATTTATTTGCCTGCTTTTCTGTGATTATTTTCAAATGAGCTGCGTTTGGCATTGACCCTTGCAATGTCTTTGAGCATACTTAAGATATGAATTAGTTTTGTAGGCTGTTTTTTTCATCAGGAGAGAGTGATGTGTATCTGAAAAGGGAACTGCAGATGATCCTATCACTTTTTGCATGGTCTAAATTGCAAATGTATGGCAGCATGAATCCTCTGGTAGGTGCTTATGGTTAAGGAAAGTGATTCCTAGTTCTATAATCAGATGTGGAATAACTTAATGGAAAATTTTAAAGTTGTGTGCAGGTGAAAGCTGACAGAACTTTTGATTAATTTACATTTCAGAAATTGCTCTCTAAAGGAAATGAAAAATTATTTGCTATTTATCAGAATAATTTTGAGCAAAGTTTCTGTTCTTATTGTTAGAAATGCTCACCTCCATTTTATTTTCCCTTTTTTAGAGAAAGTAACAAAATGGGAATTCGTCTTCCTGTCCCTTCCTTCCTTCCCCTCCTTCATTCATCATTAAGACAACTAGGTATTCTGAAATAAATTCGCTGAAGGTTAGCTTAAAACTTGCTCTTATTTTGAATAAGCGCTGAATATAAAAGTGTTTCTTCTTCTTCTTCTTCTTCTTCTTCTTCTTATTATTATTATTTTATAAATATTCTCCAGAACCCCAAGCAGAATTGTGGCTAGTTGTGAAGAAGAGTACCTCTTTCAATTTTTTTTGCTCCTTGGTGTGATATTTCTCAAATAAGTAGTTGGTAAAAACCATGTCATTAGGTAGGGGGACAGTGAGCATACAAAGAAAAAGAAAGTTTGAGAGAGTGAGGGGTATGTCGGGGAGTAGATGGCCAAACTGTGGGAGAAGAGAGATTTCTGGGAACTGAGGACAGAGTTTAATGCCTCTGGTCACTGTATAGATTAAAAACACTGAGTCACCCCTGAGGTTCAGCAAGCAGGAGAATTGTGTACAAGTCTTTCTTGCTTTTGCTTTCAGCTTTCTTTCCCTCCTCAAGTTTAATTTTCTGCTCAAATGAAAATTGATTTGGTTTAGTGTGGAAGCCCTTTAGACCTTTAAGGAAGCTGACAGGAGAGATCCTAACCAAGTCAACCCAAACCAGAAGGGCGTAGTAAAGTGAAAATTTAAGATGCTGGAATATTTATAGCATTATAGTCTAAACAGGTTATTTTGAATGTAAAATTAGGTATCAATTTCTATGTAGATAAAGAGGAGGATCCAATACAATACTAATATTAGCAGTACGTTTATAAACCTACATAAATTTAGAGGTACTCCTTAGTTGTTTTCTCACAGGACCACATCAATGTTGTTAGCTGGTGCTCATTGACATGCTTTTATAAATTTGCATACTACTTCATAACAAAATCAGAACACAGACATTTAATCTGTCATGCATCTCATTGTTATTTTGGATGGAAAAGCCTATTCTAAAAAGAACATTCTTTTATTTCTTTCCCAATTTCCACACTTGCAGTTTTTGATATTTATTTATTTTAAATATATTTACATTGCCAAAGGTAGTGAGTGGTCCGTGCATTAATGCTGATGTTTTTAGCATTTGCATAAAAATAAGCATAGAATCATAGAATCACAAGGTTGGAAAGGATCTGTAAGTGTCCCTTCTCATCCAACTGTCCTCCCATTACCATTGCTACCACAAGCTACTAAACCATATAGCTCCCTCTTTTAGTTTAAAGCCATTGCTCCTTGTCCTGTTGCTACACTTCCTGAGTCACTCCCTATTTTTTCTGTAGGCTCCTTTAGGTTCTGGAAGATATCTTTAAGATCTCTCTGAAGCCTTTTCTTCTCCAGGCTGAACAGCTCTTTGCAGGAGAGGTGTTCCAGCCCTTTGCTCATCCTCATTGCCCCTCTTCTAGACTCACTATGTCAGGTGCATGTACTTTGTATATTGAAGGTCCCAGAGCTGAACAAAGTGCTCTACGTGGTATCTTAGAACAGCAGAGTAGAAAGGGATGATCATCTTGTATGACCTGCTAGCTGTGCTTCTTTAAATTCAGTCCAGGCTGTAATTGTCTTTTGGAGATGCAATTGCTGACATCTGCATTAAAACTGGTGAGAGTTCTAAAGTTAGTGTGAATCAGTTCTAAGGCAAGGCATCAAATTTCCTTCCAGTAATTCAAAGACAAACTGCTTTAAATAATTTTTATCAGACATAATTAATTTAACTTACTGGTGTGCCGCACCAGAATTCTTCTGTTAGCCTGCTTTGGAAATAATGAAGTCTCCACCCTGCAATTCCCACAACTTTACTCACAAGTAGTCTTGGTACAGTCTCTGGGGTCATCTAGATGAATAAAGATTGAATGGCCTGACCTAGATATTTCATGGAACAGTAGCACTCCATACTCAGAGAAAATGTATTCGGAGCGGCCAACTGTCTGCAGGTGGATGTTTTTCTTTGTCAAATTGTTATATATTTTTTTCTCAACTGCTCATGCTTTTCTTTTTTTATAGTAAGTCAGTGCACAATGCGTAAATACCACTTTCAAGATTAGAACTTTATGAGGGGGACCTTAAAAAAAAAAATACAGTTTTTAACCTGTGATTTGTGCATTTTTTGAGTAGTGCCTGGTGAATATTGCTATTTTCAATAAAAGAAAAAGCAGTCTTGTGAGCTTTCAAGGATATAGATTTTTATTGATCTGGCTGTCACTAATTATAGAAATGCGTGGGGTATTTATCATAGACCTTAGGGATTTTAAAAAAAGCAATAACTTCTGTTCTTTGGAGAGTGGTATGTCTCTGTCTTAAGCATTTCTTCCATATAACCATTTCAGAGCTTTTCTGGTACAAACTCCTTAACTTTCCTTTTTCTTTTCCATTTATAATTATAATAGAGGAAGAATAGATGTGGCCTACCTGAAATTACCTTTATTTTTTTCCCAAAATGTTTAGTCTTGTTCTAATTATTTAACACAGTACAGCAGAAGAATGGACACAAAGAGTACAAGGGGAGTAAAATAGAAATGTGAAGCAAAAGCTAAGACAGTCCAAAAAAGAGTTTTCATGTAAGTGAGAGAAAGTATTACACTCATGCTTTGCAGGCAAAGACTTTGCCTCCTGTTTTCTCAGTCAAAGACACGTTTTCTGGTGGCTCAGTTCTTGGTTTTCTAATGGGATTAATTCCTTTGTATATTCTTGAAATTAAATGTTCAGTTTGGCTAGGGTAAAAAGCGAAATCTATCCATAATCATAAGAGATGAAGAATAACCCAGTATTTGTTTTGTGTTTCTCCAAGCCTGAAGTTCTTAGAGATACTGGAAATACAAAACTGATTCTCTCAACTTGGCTTTGCACCTGGTCAAAGAACAACTAGGCATGCAACATTAGTGTCTTCTCTTATTTTCCAGGTCCGTGGGGGAGATGCATGGGAGATGAATGTGGCCCAGGTGGCATCCAGACTCGAGCAGTGTGGTGTGCCCATGTGGAGGGCTGGACAACACTGCCCACCAACTGCAAGCAGCCAGAGCGGCCGGACAACCAGCAGAGCTGCTTCCGTGTCTGTGACTGGCACAAGGAGCTGTATGACTGGCAGATTGGCACGTGGGATCAGTGCCGGCCCGTCCTCTCCCGCAGCCATGAGAAGCCCCAGGAGTGCCTCAGAGGGGAGGATGGCATTCAAACAAGAGACATCACCTGCATCCAGAAGTCCAATGGGGTGCCTGCTGAGGATGTCATCTGTGAGTACTTTGAGCCCAAGCCCCGCCAGGAGCAGGCATGCCTTATCCCGTGCCGTCAGGACTGCATTGTGTCTGAGTTTGCCCCTTGGACGGAGTGCTCTAAGACCTGTGGCAGTGGGCTTCAGCATCGAACTCGGCACGTGGTGGCCCCACCACAATTTGGTGGGTCTGCTTGCCCAAATCTCACTGAATTTCAGGTCTGTCAGTCTAGCCCATGTGCTGCTGAAGAAAGCCTCTATAGCCTAAATGTGGGACCGTGGAGCATGTGCTCAGTGCCCCATTCAAGACAAATACGGCAAGCAAGAAAACGAGGGAAGAGCAAGGACAAGGAAAAGGACAGAGAAAAGGCAGTTCGGGATCCCGAGGCTCGTGAATTAATTAAGAAGAAGAGAAATCGAAACAGACAAAATAGACAGGACAACAAATACTGGGACATACAAATTGGGTATCAAACCAGGCAGGTTACATGCACTCACAGAAATGGGAAAACTGCTGCTCTGAGGTAATCAATGTTTCTTCATTCGCAAATTATTATTTGTTTCTATTAATTCTAAGATAAAGCACACATAAGTGCATGCTGATATTAGTTCACAGAGCCCAAGACACAATTTACCACATGCATTATTTCCAGTATGAACATCCCTCATCAAGATTAAAACATTTCTGTGACAAGAAATGTTCAAGCTGTGCTGGGGATCATAGTAAGCATTGCATGAATGTGCAGTATTAAACTGTGCTAACTCCATATTCTCTGTCTGTCTACACGTTTTTCTCTCAAAAACTTGATGAAGTTTATCAAATGTCAGCTCTGTTTCTATGGATTGAGGCAAGTTTTCACCTGCAGGTTTTAATGAGTCGTTCATGTTTGGAACAGATGATGTTATTGCCTGCAAGGCACAAAAGTTTCAGAACAGTTAGGGTATGACATATGATAACAGGAAGATGCTGCTTGAGAGTGCAGCGTTTTGTCCAGTGCCTTTAGTTATGAAAAAGAGCATGCAGTATTTTTTTGTCCTTGCTTCTTAAGGTGAAATTTATGAGACGGTGAAACTTGTGTGTGTGTACCTTTTCCCACTTATTTTCATTTGCTTCTGCACCTTTTTCCTCTTTTATTTCTCAGTGGTAAACTTTTCATTATCGTCTGTTTTTGTGTTTTCATTTTATTTATTTATTGTTGTGCTTTTCAAGTTATTAGGTGGTTGCAGATGTTTCCATAACTCTTTCCATAGGCTTCTGTGTGCTTTTCTGCAACTATATAATTTTCCACTTGCTTGTTTTATTTGATGTTCTCTTGCTAGCTCTTGTTTTTCCTGCATACCACCCAGAACATCTTTGTCAAACTGGAAGTCTTCTTTCTGTCTCTTCTACCTTTTTCTGACTGTGATGTGATTCTTTCTACTTTCTTCCCTCCAGTACAATACATGATCAATCAGTTTTACTTCATCTGTGAAATGAGTAAGATCCCTTGCTGAATCAGGTTGACATCCATTTCTGCTAGGTAGGCTTTTATTAGCTTTTTCTCAGGGTACTTTTCTTTAACATTCTGTCATAGAACTTGCAGTGGCTTCAACCTTTCCTATCAAAAGCCACATTATAGCTTTTCAAGTGTTATAAACATCATCTTTTTAAGTACATTTAATCACAAAACTTCAAATTAATATGGAATTTTCATTTCTCCATGGCTGAACATCAGTGTGCAGCTACAGAACACACCCCCAAGTACCTGTCAGTGTAAGTCCAGATGATTAATGCTACAGTACTGGAAAGTTTGAATTGTTTAGCTGGGAGGTAGTACAACTGCATGGGGTTGTGAGGTGTATAATGGTATGTAAAATCTTGTCACAACAAAGACTGGGATGAGTTATTCTCCATATATCATGGATATAGAGAGAGAATGAAAATGATCTTAATCACAGGGATACTGAATGAAAATATACTTCCTTATACCAGGCACAGAGAAGCTCTGGAAAGGACTGCCTGAAGAATTTGTGGTGCTTCCATCTTTGAAGGTTTCTAAGAATAGGTCAGAAACACATATCAGGAATGGTTAGGGAAGTAATCTTTGAATAACACCAAGATAGGGTTGAATTAGTGTCCGTAGAAGGAATCTCAAAGCCAGCATGCTCAGGCAGTGTCAGATTTTGTCTGCAGCACAGTCTCCATGGTGGTACAGAAAAAAGCTGCTTTTACCTCTTCCCTTCCCAGCCTAATATTATGCAGCCCAAGAATATCATTACACTTTAAATACAAAGAATAATTTATTAAACACACCGATTGCTGGTAGCTAGCAGCCAGACATTCTGTTTGAAAGTCTCCAAGATTTTTTACATTTAAACAAATAATTCAGAACTACAATATTTAGAGGAAGAAAAAAAAAAAGAAAAAAAGGAAGTTGGTGGGGGGAACATTCCTATGCTGATTCTGATAAATGGCACAAGAAAGATAAGATACAGTAGGCAGTTTATGACATACATTTCTCATCATCTTTATACTTCCTCTTGAATTAATTCAGATCAGTAATGCTGTCTTAAATGCAGTCACCTCAGCATACCATATATGCACCATATATTCAGGCTGCAGCAGGGAAATGGATGAATTCTGTTGCCTGAGGCAGAGAAACAATAGATGGTACAATGTAGGAACAATTCTTCATTGGGGAGAAAAAGATATAAATGATGCAATGGATATTTTCATGTCTAATGAATACAATTTTACGTTGTAAATGTAGAAAGGATTTATCATATAATAGCCTTCCTATCAAGTTCAGCATATAATCTTTTTTCTTCAAGTTGCATAGTAAAAACAAGAAAAAATGATTAAACGACTCCCATGAGAAACACTAGCACTGATACCTTCGCTTTTAAAGACCAAACTATGTGTCACTTATATATATATATCAGCTTATTTTATTCTGTGTTCTCTACTCTGTAGTCAAACGCTTGATTCTGTGGTTACCTTTCCAGAATCTCAAACAATAGAATTATTTTTCTATGTAGGTTGTCAGTGCAGCCAGCAAAAATGATTTTATAATCTCCATCCATAGTAGGCATGTTACTAAATAATATGACAAGTAAGGTGACTGGATAACCTGCTGTGCTCATGTGAAATGCTCCTCAGCTTGAATACTTCATTTTCAGTGAGTTCTGACTTTAGTAATCAGAAACAATCAGCCCCCTAGCAGCATGACTGGAAGAAAAAAAACCCTCAGGCGAGTAATATTTTTTGCAGAGGTAGCAAAATTGATACAGTATAAAAAGAGTTACAAAAAACATGTTTCAGAAGGATGCTCCAGAGAAAATGATTCTGTAAAGCTGTCAGCAAAACTTCAAAAAGGCAAATTCTCTAGACACATCAGCACACCAGTCATGGTAAAGAGAAGTGAAAAAAGAAAATCAAAGTGTAATTTACACACTTTATTGCCAAGTGAACAATACATAGTCTCCCGTGAAGGATGAAATATTGGATTTTGTATTGCTTGTTCTGCAATGAGGTGCGTGTTATACATCCTACAGTCTGAAATTCTGATGCATTGAAAGTATTTTAAAAATAGAATTAGTGGAGAAGAGAGAATTCAATAATTAAAGCTGTCTTCAAAATGGCTGCCCTGGATATGTAACAGAACTAAAAGAGTGTCGCTCTTAGTGTAGAGAACTGATCCTCTGAAATGTTTCCTCTTTTTTCTGATGAAAGTGGAATCTGTTAGAGATCCCACAGAGAGCCATTAGACTAAAAACTGGCAATGCAGAGAAACACAGTGTCTGTGTAAAAATTGGAATGCAACTCTTTGCACTATTACAAGTTGTGATGTTTGTGTCTCATGTTAAGCCTGTCGTTTTCTATTAAAATTTAAACTCGGTTTTTTTTTGCTGCTCCATCAATTTAATCTCCATTTAATCTCAAACATTCCCTCATAAGTGTCTTCCTGAGCAGACTTGAAGAGAAAATATTAGCAAAAGTGTTTTGGATGTTTTTATTCAAGCCTAGGAAAAAATACTTTGCTTTTACAGTGTTTTGGTCATTCACATGACCATTTCACTGTGAGGCTTTGCTAAGTAAGATCCTTCTGGACTGGGGAAAGCGTATGAAATTTGGAATGATGGAAGCAGCTTATGGATGCAAGCATTTGTAACTGTAGAAACATGGAAAAGAGCTAGTGTTCCTTCTTCACCTATATGTTTCTGTACTTCAGCAAAACATTTGGAAATTCTCTGACCAAATGCATCAGGTTCCTGTCTAGTGGTTGGCCCATGCTCATGGTGACAGGCTGTGGCTGCCAGGCCAAAAGGCTGCAAGTGGAACTGTATGTAAAACAGTTGTGTTAAAGCTATGAGTAACTATTAAAAAAAAACACAGCCATTCTGCACATTTATTTTTCAGTTGTTTGAATGTAGCTTACTATCTTGCTTAAGCTGGAAACAAGAAGCTCCTGTCTGCATGGGAGAAGAAATGGAGAAGTAGGAAACAGACCCTTGCAGGTCTTTGGCTGAGTGGTTACTGATCCCTTACAGCATCCCTGTAGCAGAGGCATATTTGAGAACAGTATTGATGGCTTGTAGTTACAATGCAAGAAGCAACAGTAAAATTTTGGTTATTTTCAGGGCTTTTATTTCTTTGGTGGGAAATCATATGCAGTGACAATATTGGGTAATGGTGGTGGAAAATAGAAGCATTCAAAAATTAAAAAATTCTGAAGTCTTCCTGGGCAGCTTGGTTTAGCAGCATTATACATTTAATAGTACAATCATATTTCCCTCTGTCCTCCTTGGAGAGTAATTATTTACTATTTCTTATCCTCCTCACTGATTCTATGCATTTGTACAACACCTAATGAAATATATCTGTAACTCATAATGAATTAATCTCTCTTGGAATGATATCATTGCTATAGTTAGTATACTTTATATACTTCAATTCTGGGTTCGGGAGAGACTGAGTTTTTGTTTCTTCCAATATTATATCTGAGAGAAGAGAGATGATAACAGAGTAACAGTTACTGAAGTGTCCTGCTAATTTCAGGCAGACAGTTTGAGGTATATCATGCCAGATTTACTTCATGTAAACCTGTATTTAGATAAAGCACATCCACTGTACTTGATACTGACCATAAGTCTTAAGCTGGATACCCAGAGACTTAGAAAACGACTGTCTGATTTAGGCTGATGAACAAGTGATACTCAGAAATCAAAAATGGCTAAAAGAAAGACAGTCTGATCCCCTAGGGTGACGTTTTAATTTCATTGGTCTTTTCGTCTTTCCCAGTCTGAACCCAGTGCTCTCCTCACGGACCATGCAACAAATGTCTCCTTCCACATTATGAGCTCTCATTGTCCTTTATCTTTTGTGTGAAGACTGTGTTACAAAAAATACGGCGTAAACCTGTCACTGTCTTTATGCCATTAATCTGGAGAAGGAGAAAAGTCATCCTGAGTTATATGTTGTGAGACAGAAAACAGAGAACTTCAGACATACAATGCTTTGTTTGTTGTTCCCTGTCATATAATC